AAGCATCTGGTGAAAGGGCTCAACACCACCAATGGAAGGACGTGGCGAAGGCTGTGCGGGGTATGGGCTGGGTTGGGCCAGGTGACCCAATGCAGGGTTCTCCTTGAGAAAGTCGGACCAGGCGTTGTAATCGAACCCTTCAGGCATCAGCTGACTGAGGCTGTGGTACCGCTCCATGTTCTCGACATATTCCTTTTGCATGCATGTCGGAACAGGCACCAGCTTCAGTTTGACCTCCAGAGTTTCCTTGATTCCGTTCGAAAAGATGCCAAGAATGTTCTTGCACACGCGACCAGTGACCATGGTTTGGGAATCTTTGGCGGGGGCATTGGGAGTCGGCGATGCTGAAGCGAGGATCCATGATAGCATGCCCTGACCAACCAGCGGCGTTTCGTACTCGGAGAAGTCGTAAGCGTATACGGTGTAGTCGTGGCCTAGTTTGGCTACGAGCTCGGGGCTGTGACAGTGAGCAAGCTGTTTCAATCAACCAATAAGCGGAGGAGTCGGCCCACCTTGCAGTCACAATAGCCTGAATGCAGGTCTTGAGTTCGATGACTCCCACTTCGGTGGTCTCGTCCAGCGACACGACAGGCACGTTCAGCACGCTTGGCAGACGGGCCAGGCAGTTTGACTTGTTCTGGTCATCGAATGTGTAGAGTACTTTGACTGTGGTGCAGCTGTGTTAGATCAAGTCGTGATGAATGAGCAGATGTGCTTGCCTCGCATTTGCCTGCGCGGTATTTCGTCCATTGTGCTCTCCTCGGCAGCGGACGGTGTGGGCGCGTGCTGCATCGCACCAGGATCCGGCGTGGTACTTGAGGGCGTCGACATGGCTGCCTATGAGATTGACAAAGGATAGGCGGGCCGTGATGAAGAAGAGAGAAGAAGGTTGTCGGGGGCGACGGGGTGGTCTATGTTATATCGCGATCGGTGGCTGGCGTGCGATCATCGCGAACGCGTTCGAGGTGAACTAAGAAGCGAGACTAAAGGCGACAAGAAGACGAATTGGCGGGGTAAACGAGTCTTTAAATATTTTCGCGTGTAAATGAATCCGAATTAGGCAACAGCACGCGTAAAGTGGCAGAGAGAAGGAACGTGGAGGGCGTCGTGAAAGAGGTCGTGTGGTGAAAGTGAAGTTGCATGCACGAGCTCGGAGGTTTGACGCTACCCGCTTCGCGCTAACGCGGGGAGGACAAAGACGCGTGACGCACCTTCCATGCTAAAGTTTCAGCCCCACTCCCGACGCGTTGATTGGCTTCGATTGCGGATAAAGTGTAGCTCCAGATCCGATTCTGCCAAGCTCGCTCACTTCATCGCCCTGCCTCATATCATCGCCGACCGATCCACCTCATCCAAGCGCGTTGCCGTGGTGTTCCTCCTTTCTAAAACTAGGTCAGTCTTTCCGCTCCTGGTCTGTGCATATCTTTTGCGCGGCCCCATCCTTGCGCGCTACTTCCCTGAGCAGCGTATATCAAAATTCGCAGGCAGAAGCTCGAGAGCTAGAAAGTTAACCTGTAACAGTCCCAACCCCATATAGCAAATCTCCCCCTGCTACCTTGCACAATTCGACACCATGGTGGACGCAAAGATTCAGTATGTATTACTGCTAGAACATTCACCGCTATATGAGCTAACCTTGCGCAGAGAGCTTCTATCCAAGCCGCGTTCGGAGTTGACGTACGTACACCCTCCAATCCACAACAATTCCTGTACTGACATTACTGCCTAGCGAGTACGAAGTTGCTCAGGTCGAAGAACATGAGCTCACCACCGGCCCCCTCTCCATTCTCCAGACCGCCGTCCGCTCGCGCACACAAGTCCTGATCTCGTGCCGAAACAACCGCAAGATTCTCGCACGTGTCAAGGCTTTCGACCGTCATTGCAATATGGTTCTCGAGAACGCGAAAGAGATGTGGACTGAGACTCCACGGTTAGCCAACGGCAGCTACGGAAGGAAGGTCAACAAGGACCGCTTCATCTCCAAGCTGTGCGTTCAAATTACACTCTACATTTGCGCATGCGCTGACTTTTATAGGTTCCTACGCGGCGACTCGGTCATTCTTGTATTGCTATCATAAGAGCTTGGAAGCACTGGGGATTTGGGACGGTAGCGCCAGATCGAGCGCACGAAATGGAGTTGGAATGAATTAAAAGTTACATAACCGTCGCGAAATCGGCGAGGAACACCGAACGAATCAAACAACGATACCCCAACTTCTACTTCTTCAACCCGTCACTCAGGCCCAGTAGGAGCTCCGCGAGGCCATGCGCGCCAGGGTCTGGAACCTCTTGGAAACCCTCGCCTCCAACGTAGACCGTTCGCCCCAAGCTCGCTTTCATACCCTTCGTCCCTTGCGCGCCACCTTGTGCCGCGGCAGCCGCTTTGTCGATACTTTCCGTCTTAGACAGCGTCTCAACGAACGGATAGAGGGCATCCATCAGCGTTCGGTCACCGGGTTTGGCAGGAGTGTATTTGCCCAGTGCCTTGAGCGATGAGTCAAGGGCCTTGGCCCAGATTGCGGGTGTGACAGGCTGTGGCGACGAAGGCGCGTTTTGTCGCAATCCATGCGCCAGCGCATTCAAGAAGATGGCGTAGATTGCACCTGACGTGCCGTCCATAGCCAGTTCCACCACTTGAATGATGTGATTCATGAGGATCAGCAGATCATCTGTCTCCTTTGCCGTTTCGAGCATCTTGAGAATTGCTGTTGGGTGTCAGCGCCAGGCATCAATGCACACGTGATGACAGCCTACCTTCTGCGCCACGCTTGAGTCCGATTCCGCAATCGCCATCTCCAACTATTGTGTCATATCGGGTGACGTCTGGCTCAGCCTTGATGAGTCTGTTCAGCGCAACTGTCAAGGTTGACTTGGCCTGGGCATAGTTGACTACTCAAGTTAGTGGGCGTCATACGCAGCTCTGCAGGTACTTACCTCTCAGATCACTTGGCTGAATATCCTCTTCATCCACCTGCTCCTCGTTCTTCTTCGCTTCTTCCCGTCTCGCCCATGTGCTGCTACTAATCGCCGCAGACCAGCCACTTGCCTCGGCAGGCGCATCAAGCAGCTCGAGCATTGAAGCGTCGGCGACTCTAAGCAAGCTAATGGAGAAGCCTAATCCATTCAAACTGGTCATGAAGGTGCCAGCTAGAATACGCACTGGCTTGGTCTTGAAGCTGTCCGCCAATTGCTCGACGACTTCGTTCGTGATTCCGCTTAGCTCGAGTGGACTGACACCTCCCAGGTTGTTGACCAGTAGTACCACCTCGTCCTTGTCGGTGATCTTGGAGAAGCTTCGGTCCTGGTCCGCTACGTCCAGGCAATGCGACAACATTGTCTTTACAAGACCAGGTAGATCGATCTTCTTGCGCTCTGAACCGGCTTCATTATGGATGCCCATTCCAATCTCAACTAGGCCTTCAGCCAGCTCGTCTTCCTCTGCCTCCCGGCGACCTGGCACGTGGACGTGAGCCAGTGAAGAGCCGATCGAGACGGTGTTGTCTGCGACGAGCTGGGCCATCTGCGTTACATCTTTGAGATTCGCTCTACAATGATGTCAGCTTCCTTATAGGCATGATGTTGGTGTGTTGCATACCCTTTAGCAGCAAGCGCACCGGCAATCTTCTGGACGAGCACTGTTCCCGCAATACCTCTGCGTCCGACCTTACCTCCTTTCGCACGCCCTACACCCGCATCGTCGCCGACTACCACCATGTCGACTTCAATACCAGCAGCGCGCGCTTTCTCCACCGCCATGCCGAAGTTCAGCACATCGCCAGTGTAGTTCATTACAATCACGAGGACGCCCTTGTCTTTTTGAATGCGATGCAAAATACATCTTCGCACCTGCTCTGCACTTGGCGAAGCGAAGATGGTACCTGCGACTGCTCCGGATAAAAGGCCCGCGCCGACAAAGGATGCGAATGACGGTTCGTGACCACTACCACCTCCGGAAACTATGCTGACTTGCGATGCGCCATTCTTGCGGTAGACGATCTTGTTGTTGATGTCGCATTGCACGGACGGGTTCGTCTGAGGGATGCTGAGTAGCGCGGTGTTGACAAGGTGTGTCGGGTCGTGGATGAAGTGTCTCGCTGAGTACGTTAACTATCTGATCGCGTAGGTTTTGATGGGAATGCATACATGACATTGTGATTACTATATGTCCAGCTCAATGGAGTGCGCGAATTGGTGCAGAACGACGGAACACAGAGCGGATGGAAATCGCAAAAGTGGCATGACGAAAGACCAAGAAACCTTCAATACCCGACCCGACGACAAGCAATCATTCCACCATTCCTTCGTGTCATTTGACATATGCCGACATAGCCTGTGGCCACACGGAAACGCGTCCGCGTTCCGTCTTGTTTCCAGGCACTTGGAGAGCTCCAGTGCTCTAAGTGGGGTTGCGCAGATGCGTGAGGGGTAGCTTTGCGTTACTGTGGGGTCGCTCCTTCCCCCGAACCCCGAGATGTCAGCAAGCATAGCTGCCGGCTTCCTTTTCTGGGCGATGCCGTACCAAGTTTCGGTCTTCCGACCACTCCTACACCAAGCATTGAAAACTACGACGAGCCTCATACGGAACAGGTCCGGGAGACTGGAGTTCTTGTATATGACCATGCTTGCTTTTTCAATCTCGGCATTCGACAATCGGACCTCACCTACGCGCCCAGAGCTCATTACCCAACAATACGACTTTGGGCATGAATTACTGATTGCCGCCGTGGTGATCATCAACTGGGCACGAAGCCCTTGCGTTTGTGGAGGAGATGGCGAGACGCGCTCATTCCTACCATTAGGCCGCTACTGCAGTTATGGAGCGGTACCCAGAGTGTGAGTTGATGGTATATACCCGTGATTGTCTGAGCCTTCGACTGGCTATGGTACCTTCGCTACCACGAAGTTTGTGCGGAGCCACATGGACTCGCACACATCTGGGAGAATCTCAATATCTCATGTAGCTTCACACTTACATTCACTACTCGCCTGCCTCCACAATCATGTCTCAGCTGGAAACCTCCGTTTCGTGCGCTGAGAAACGTTACAAAATCAATGCAAAGAGAAGTCCACTATACGCCCTTCCCTACGAGGTCCTAGCCCATATCCGGGGGTACTTGGATCACGCCGAGAAGACTTGCTTTGCGCTGTCAGGCGCCAAGTTCTTCCAAAGTTTCCCATCCATCACTGTTCCAGAAGAGAAAGTCGGCGATACCAAGATCGACGTCTATCTTCGGCTTCTGAGAGACGACTTCTACAGAGAAGCCCGCAAACGACCGGGGATCTGGTGCGTTTATTGTGCAGATGTACACAAGGATACGCACTTCATCGAGAGCATGCTCTGTCGCCCACGGCAGGAACGCAAATGTTCCTCTACACTCAGACTGTGCCCACACAGGTCTTACTCTCTGGACTACTTGAGAGATAAGGTAGAAAGAGCTGTATCTCTTAGGGGTAGGCAGGCCATGTACTTTAGTCTCCGGTGCTATACTTGCGAAACAGAGTTGAAAAAAAGCCAGATATACTTCACCAATTGTGCCGTCACATACGATCAGACGTCTGGAGACTATGTCCTGAGAAGTGACATAACCATGGGCTTTTCGAAAGCAAAAGGCCCGGGTTTACATACAGAAGCGCGTAGAGTCCTACAAAAACTCGATTTCACAGCGTGTCTTCACAGACAAATTTCTGAGGAAAGCACCATAAACCGGTTTGTCGATGCCGAGATCGGGGCCGTCAAAGCAGAAAAGCAGGACCAAACCCATCGCGTACATTGCGAGCACTGTAAAACGATGGTACGAACCAGATACGTCAAATCCTTGTGTTTTTCGCCTCACAAGCCAGGAGCAGCAGCAGCGGAAACCGGACTGAAGATAGATATTATACGTAACTTGGGCAAATTGTCAAACGAAGACGACCCGACATGGAGAGCGCATCTTCGAAAGCGGCAATTGAAAGTCACAAAGGATTAAGGCGACCTGGGTTCGGCTCGAACTGGGCTGACCACCACGATGAGAGAGTGGGAAAGCAAGAGCTACGTGCATGGCCGCCAAGATGGAGAGCGGTCGGGCCTCACGGAGTAGGTTCGGCTTTGAAAAGCTACCCCACCATCTGATAAGATTCTGATCTACACCCCCACCAACCCGTCGCGTCGAGCTCCAGCCATCGCGTCCTGACGCAATCCGTCTCATCTTTCAAGTTGCGCGTCGCACTGCTGAACTTCGAGATACCCATTTCAAAATACCACAATCTGCGTTTATTTTTTATATCGAAACCTCAACGCGAAGATGGCGCACCCCGGCACCGCCCACAAATACACCAAAGGCCTCATCGCCTTCGAACACGCCTCGCCTCACCCTTCGTCCTCCTACGACACCATCCTCTGGATAGGCGGCCTAACAGACGGTCTCCTCACCGTTCCCTACCCCTCGCTCATCGCGTCCTCCCTTTCACCAACCTGGTCGCTCGCCGAAGTCCTCATTACCTCCTCCTACAGCGGCTGGGGCACCGGTAGCCTGACGCGCGACGCAAAGGAATTAGGGGAATGCGTGGCATATTTTAAGGCAAGGCGGCCGGGGAAGAAAATTGTGCTCATGGGACATTCAACGGGGTGTCAAGACATCATGGAATATTTGCTGGGGAAAGGAAATGAGGCGAGGGAGAAAGTGGATGGCATAATACTGCAGGGTGGTGTTAGTGATAGGGAGGCATGGGAAGATTACTACAAAGAGGGAGAGAGAAGAAAGCAGCTTGACGATGCGATTGCGATGGCTAGAGAATTGGTGGACAAGGGGAAGGGAGAGGAAGTCTTGTCACCGGAGAGTAATCCTGTGATCAAGGACATGGGCGGCCCTCTCAACGCATATCGCGCATACTCCCTACTTGCAAAGGGTGGTGACGATGATTACTTCTCGAGCGACCTATCAGACGAACACTTCACGACTACGTTCGGCAGGATACCAAAGACCACACCGGTGTGCTTCCTCCTCGGATCCTTGGACCCCTACGTCCCCGCGAGAATTGACCGAGCTGCCCTACTCCAGCGCTGGACAAGGATAATACGGGAAGGCGGTGGTGTTGTCGATGACGAAGATGGTGGTGTGATACCGGGTGCGCATCATAATCTTGATGGGGATCCGGAGGAGGTTGTGCAGGATCTGGTGAGGAGGGTGCTTGGGTTTGTTACGAGGTTGGGGTGAAAAAGGGTGTGGAATAGTCGTGGCGTGGAATGTTTGGCTGGGATAGGGTCGCTGCAGTCAAAAAAGGACTAGGACAAGCGGTTCTACACGATTGAATATCAGTGTAGATTCTCACATGCCTCACTTCTGTACACCATAACTATGCCAAGTTGTATCACAGTTGATACTACATCTGACCTTCCCGCTCGAAAAGCGTAGTTGTGGAAAACAAAGATCTGAAAACATAATAAACACACAATTCTTCAAATAATGTATTAACGTGGCATGCTGACCGCACACACCGCTGCCTCTCGAGCACACCCTACTCAACGATATCTAGCTTTTGGTATCCCCATTCCAACCCGACCCAATCCATAATGCCGTTAATTCATCCTATCCCCCAAGCCAAAAGCAAGGAGAAGAGCATCCAAAGTCCTCTCACATATCAATACCTCAAACGCCCACGCAATGCAAAAACCAACCCTCTACATTTCCATCCGCCGCACTCAGTCAAACCCACTCCTCCACTGTTTCCCCATGAGCTTTTTGGTTTGCGTCGCAAAGTAGTGCTTCCGTCTTCGCTCTCGCTCTGCTGGGTCTCGCTCTGCTTCTTCTGTTTCTTCAGCTGGTAATACCTCGGTATCCTAAGCCCCTAGTATACCACCAGGCTCCTCAAAAACAGCTTGAACGACCCACTGTTCGCCGAACTTGATGCCTTTACCTCCACTGATACCAGCGTTACGCCAAGGACGATTAACACCGATATCCACGATCCAGATGAGCCACTGAGGATCGCGTCCAGAGCCATTTTGAAGGGCTTTGACAAGACCAGTCCGTGGCGCACCGAGACAAACGATGTACTTTGCGCGGACTTCGAGGGGCTCGCCTTCTAGTATGGAGACTTCGCCTGTCGAACCGCCGACGCCAGAGGGTGTTTCAACCGCGAGGCATGCTGCACGCGATTTGTTGGCCCAGCCGACGATATTGAGAACAACGCGTTGGTCTTGGTCGCCAAGGGCTTCAAATTCCTTGTGGCGGCCGAGCAGAGCATCAATAATAAGTTCCGGTGGTGCTTGAAGACGCTTTAGGGCTTCTTCTGTAGCGTTCCAGGAGCGGACGGTGCCGCCGAATTTGCGGAAGAGCTCGACTTGACGGCGTATGTCCTTGTCCCAGTCTGCGTCGCGTTCGAAGCCGAGGAGGGCGACCATGACTTTTGGCCCGCGTTGGGCGAGGTGCCGTGCCGCTGCTACTGCGCGTGCGCCGCCGCGGTGGTTGCCTGCGAGAACTACAATAACGGGGTTGGCGTTTGGATTGGCGCGCGAAAGACGCATGCCTCCGGGATTTATAGCAGTCAGAGCAACTTCTGCGATACCTCGTCCAGAGTTCTCAGCCATGATGTCTTCGTTGAGGCCGAAATCTACCTCAGCGGTCTCTTCCACTGCCAGCATAGCGCCAGGAGTAATAGCGAAACACTTGCGGTTGTTAGACACCAGTCGTAAGCAGCCCTTAGCGCTAGACTCGAGAGGCGACTCTGGTGGTGTAGCAACGCGCCCTGGCCTGGGGCTACCGGTAGCGTGTGAGGACGTGTAGGGACGGTTGATGAACGAACGGTTAGTGCGCGGCAACACGCCTGAGCCCATCATATCCATGTCGGCTTGTACGCTGCCTTGCCGTGTTGGTGCCATCTTGACTGAAGCCCTGGACATTGCCCGTCTAGAGTTACGTCCGCTGCCAAAGTCCTCCTCTTCTTCCTCAGAGCTTGTGTTGGTCGTGCTTTTCAGCTTCCGATCCAACACGTTTTCCGTAGGATGAAGGTTCTTTCCTCCGTGTGTACCAGGTCTTGCCAAGCGATTGAAGCTGACCAGGCGGTCCTCGTCTGCAGTGGTGTCCTCATTCCTAATCTGATTGAACACCGTACGCTTGTCAAATTTGGAGAGGTTACTCTGGAAGTCGAACTCAGGCATGTCCTGGATATCGGTCGCATCTTCCGTAGCCCAGCCGTTCGTAGCTTCGAGCGCCTGTTGCCGTTTGGTTTTGCGATTCGACGCGTTCGCCGCTGCGAGACCGACTCTGCCGCCGATGACTCCGGGAGTTCTCGTCTGTGGCTGTTCGGCGGCTTGTAGCATGGGAGTGTTTCTCCAACCATTGCCTTTGCTAGTAGATGTTAGCTCCTGGATATGCGACAAAGGACATGGAACCCAGAATCCCACATACCCTTTCTTGACCGCCTCAACATCACCGTTCTTCCTCTCTTGAGCGGCAAGTTCCTTCTTACGAGACTTGCCCCCTCTTCGAGTCTTCTTGCCATTGTCGTCGTTCTTCTGCGGGCTGGGGTCATCCATAGGCTTGCCGGTCCTCGTCTTGGTGATGCTTGCCCTTCGCGCATTCACCTGTGCTGTCCGCGCCTCACTGTCCGCCTCCTCAGCGTCCGCAATATCCAGCGACGAGAATGGGCCTTCCAGAGTCGCCGCACTCGGCTTTCGGACGTTGTGTTGCTTCGCATGGCTTGCGAACGAGGACGTGTTCTTCGGTACAGTCGCCGCGCTCGCAGCAGCCACGGGCTTTATAGGCGTCGCAGGGGCTTCCTGGGGGGTTGCGGAATCAGGACCACCCAAGATAGGGGCGGTAGAAGTGCGCTTTCCCATACTGAGAATCGCAGGATCGACAAACGGTGCGGCTTGAGCTGGCTGAGGAGCGGTCTGGCGAGGCGCTTGACGAGCATTCTGGTAGGCAGGTGCGCCTGCAGGCGGGATCCCAGACGGCTGGCTAACAAGGTGCGGAACTTGTTGGCCCATATGCTGCGACTGGCGCGGGGCATGGTTCGGAGGATACTGCGAGTGTGAGTATGCCTGCGGGCCTGATCGCGTGGGGAGAGGTTGGGGAGGAGCGGGCGCCGACGGATTGACCTTGATGTCTGCAATCATTTGTCCCTCTACCGTGTAGGAAGCGACACGATGACCCGAGTTAGGGAAGAAGACTGCAGACGTCAGCGTATGCCCATATTCACGAATTCTGGCTGCGGTGTACCATCTTGGAGAACGAGTGTCGCTGTCTGCTGGTCCACGGCGCTGACCACGCCCACGACGACAGCACCTGGGGGAGACTGCAGCGTGACGGCGACCGACAATCCGACGAAAGCGCTCGCCATGTTTGCGGTAGATCGGACGTGTTGGAGGTGGAGCGGTGATCCCGAGTCCGTTGTAACCCCAACCTAACTATTTCGCGGGTCGTGCTTTCGCGCTAACGCAGTCGTCAGCCACAGTCTAGCCTCAACGGCCGTCTTCACATGCTCAGCATAAAAGGGACACCCGGTTACAAGTTGCGCCAAGGTACCCTGCACATGGAAGAAAACAAACAAAAGATAATAGGGGGTATAGACTACAAGAGCTTGAGATGCAGGATCTTTTGCAATGTGTAAGAGCAACCTAGACTTCTGGTTTATCTACTCTCTGTCATAGTACACAGACAGGCACGCGCGCAGCTTTCCCTTGAATGACGTACACACAAAAAGGAGGCAGAAAGAAGAATAACTCATGTTCATTACGCGTATTCATCTAACTAAGCCCGCCTCATCACCTAAAAGCAAATCAAAAAGTCCAGGGTATCCATACAATCGTTCCATCTCATCGCGTTCCATCAACCACGAGGCGCAAGTCGCGTGCGCCTCGATTGAGATAACGCGACATTCCCAGCTCCGCATCAAACAAGCACCCACGAGGCCACACTGCCAAACATGCACGAGTATGCCCTCTTATTGTTCCAAGTAGCCAGGCTCAAACCCCGTGCATCCTTCTTATTAAATTCTGTCACGGCTACAATCGAAATCTTCTGGCCCGGCGCACCGAGGTCAATGCGCGGGAAGTCGAGCCACCAAGTGCGCCCGTCGGTATTCAACGGCTTGTAGTCTGGCTTCCGGCCGTCCCTGCCGGCAACGCTTAGGAGCATAATGTAGGGCGGACCCTTTCCGTTGATCTGGGGATCCCAGTGCGGGCAGATGAATGACATTTGGAACCGGACTACTGCCGGTGCGTAGGGGTCGTTTACTTTGATTCTGGCTTGTGATGGTTCAAAGGTTTGCTCGCCGAAGCCGTGGAGCTTCATGCCATTGCCGCAGAGAAAGAGGCGCCCGCCCTCGTCATGTCGCATGAACTCTTCGTATGACATGATGCGTCCATCGGTGCGGAACTGGTGAGAGGCTTCTCCGGGGTAGTGCTTCAGACCGAATTCGTTGTTGTCCATGACGAAATGCTGCGGAGCAAAGGCTCGTACGTATCTAGTGGATGTTAGCCCTTGTTCGACGGGTGGTGAACTGCGAAAGAAGTATCATCTCGAAAAGCTTACCCTTCGCCCTTCTTACTACACCCTAAGTGTCCAGCTCCCCAACAGGGATCAATGAGCTTCCATTCTCCGTTATCGATCTTGACAGCGTTCCAGGCATGTGTCGATTCATAAGGTGGTGTAGGTTGACCAGGCTCCAAAGGTGCGTGGCCGTAGCCCTTGCACGCACCAGAACATACCATAGCTTCCAACCCAGCTTTCAGAGCCAGAGCAGCGAACAGACCGGCATACCCTTCGCATACTGCCAGACCTGATGCAATTGTCTTTTCGGGTGTAGTAGGCATAACCGTGTTATTGAAGAACGAGTGAGTATCGTAGTCGACGTTGTGATGAAGCCATGTGAAGATCGCTCGAGCCTTGTCTGTAGGTGAGGGAAACTGTGAGCATAGTTGATGAGCAAGCCAGCCCACGTCTGAGTTGGGAAGTTGAGTACGAAGGAACTGCGCAGCGTGATTGTCTGGACCTGAGAAGTCCCGACATTTCAGGCAACTTGATGGAGCAGCACCTGGTTTCGGCTTCGAAGCCATGATGGCGCTGAGGTTCGGTCTGGACGACATGGGAACAGGTGGTGGTGCACCAAGAGCCGGGGCTGAATCGGATGTAACTGCTGGTGGACGAGTTGAAGGCACAGGTGGAGGTGTAGCGGCCTTGTTGTTGAAGCCCATGTCCAACGCTGACCGTCG